GGTTGCACTCTGTGAACTTAAAGTGGTTTTCTTGTGTTCTAAATAAAATGGGAAGACAGAGGGAAATGAAGAGGACAAAAGTGAAGAGATAAAGAAGATGAGTGAACATCGGTAAAGATGTTTATCGCTGAAGGAAGCAGAGCACTTCAAAGAGGTTGAAAACTGGTGTCAAGCTTTTGATTGACAGGTAAAATAACATGCGGCAGAGTTGTTGAAAAAGGGCTATGTCTAAATCAGTGGTTTAATCTGGCGCAAATTCTAGAATGGCTTCCATCTTTTAAAGTGAATGTTTACATATCAAAAGTTTTACTTTAATCTTTTAGGGTCTTCAGCAAGGTATTCCCAAACCCTTCTGGTTGATTGCTGAGACCTGCACACTTAAATACACGATCAACAATATCAGTCCACTCTAAACAAACAATACACCGCATATCAAAGAAACGCAGCAGTCTTCTGCATGCATATTGTCCCTCGCATTTCGAGACACAAACTTTGCCTCAAGACACTGATCAGACTTGCATGAGGTGGTGTGTTCATTATTGGACTGTTATGGATGCGGTGTTGGGGGCTGCCATGTTAAAGGTAGCGGTTCTCCCCTGCTGATGTGTGTTAGGGCCTCACATCCCTGAGGCTCCTGAGCCTGGCCCCTGACACCACACAGCATGAGACAATATGAGCCATGCTGCCAGCTCTCTGCATGTTAATAGTATTATTCCATACTTATTACAGCCCCTAAAGCTGTGCACACAGAAGGACTTTGTAAATATCTGTTTTGTGCACGTCTGTGAGGGGTCACATCCGTTCATTAGCTGACATTTCTTTTAAGATTCAGGATGAAACATCCTGGGGAAAGGATCTCAAGGAAAGCAGTAATTTATAATTAATACTAATTAAACAAACAGAATGTGTGATTTTAGTGCAATTGTAGTGGGAAATGTTGTCATGCTTACTAAAGACATGTAAAATCATGTGTAAGTGAAGGGGGATAATGCTTTCCGCTGAATTTTTTACAAATATTGCAGATAAATAAAATGAATTATACAACAATATTTATATATGCTGTTATACAGAGTCTTACTTTGTGTTTAGTGTTAGTAGCAGTTTGATTATTACACAGAATTATGTAGGCTACTTTGTAGTGTGAAGTATGATGGCTAATGCACTTCTTTTACAGTAACCTGGAGTGATTTATTACATCATCATATTCCACAAATTTCGTTTTTTTTTTTTTGAGAATGTAATTTACTTAAGAGCACAATGGGTTATTCTAAGTATTACACCATAAATTTTTTTTTCTTAAGAGTAATTTGAATAGTGCATGCTCACAAAAGGATGAAGACTACTAATAATAGTTTTCTATTAAAGTGTTTTAATTGTGCATGGTGCGGATCGCGCCACTCACTGTTTTATCAACTGTTACAATGACGTGATGTTTCACTAAACGTCATTGAGGAGCTGCACGCTCATTGGCTGAGGCCTCCATAATTTTGTTTGGTGATGAGAAGAGATAAAATTAGATAGTGGATGGTGTATAAAATTGATTTTAAGATAAAAAATTAGACGACAAAGAATTAACTTGACGGAGCTCAAACTCAAAACACGTGGCAGCAACAAAACCGCTTTGGAGAATTTGATGTTTCCCCATTCAATGAAATAGGAGCTGTACTTGCATGACTAAAATAGCTGCCCAAGAGGCATTTCAAAGATGGCCGTCAAGTGAAATGACTTGCCTTAAAGGGGCATCGGTTGCACTCTGTGAACTTAAAGTGGTTTTCTTGTGTTCTAAATAAAATGGGAAGACAGAGGGAAATGAAGAGGACAAAAGTGAAGAGATAAAGAAGATGAGTGAACATCGGTAAAGATGTTTATCGCTGAAGGAAGCAGAGCACTTCAAAGAGGTTGAAAACTGGTGTCAAGCTTTTGATTGACAGGTAAAATAACATGCGGCAGAGTTGTTGAAAAAGGGCTATGTCTAAATCAGTGGTTTAATCTGGCGCAAATTCTAGAATGGCTTCCATCTTTTAAAGTGAATGTTTACATATCAAAAGTTTTACTTTAATCTTTTAGGGTCTTCAGCAAGGTATTCCCAAACCCTTCTGGTTGATTGCTGAGACCTGCACACTTAAATACACGATCAACAATATCAGTCCACTCTAAACAAACAATACACCGCATATCAAAGAAACGCAGCAGTCTTCTGCATGCATATTGTCCCTCGCATTTCGAGACACAAACTTTGCCTCAAGACACTGATCAGACTTGCATGAGGTGGTGTGTTCATTATTGGACTGTTATGGATGCGGTGTTGGGGGCTGCCATGTTAAAGGTAGCGGTTCTCCCCTGCTGATGTGTGTTAGGGCCTCACATCCCTGAGGCTCCTGAGCCTGGCCCCTGACACCACACAGCATGAGACAATATGAGCCATGCTGCCAGCTCTCTGCATGTTAATAGTATTATTCCATACTTATTACAGCCCCTAAAGCTGTGCACACAGAAGGACTTTGTAAATATCTGTTTTGTGCACGTCTGTGAGGGGTCACATCCGTTCATTAGATGGATATTTCAGGAGCTTAATTTTCATATCATCCAATACAATAGAAAAATCAGCTGACATTTCTTTTAAGATTCAGGATGAAACATCCTGGGGAAAGGATCTCAAGGAAAGCAGTAATTTATAATTAATACTAATTAAACAAACAGAATGTGTGATTTTAGTGCAATTGTAGTGGGAAATGTTGTCATGCTTACTAAAGACATGTAAAATCATGTGTAAGTGAAGGGGGATAATGCTTTCCGCTGAATTTTTTACAAATATTGCAGATAAATAAAATGAATTATACAACAATATTTATATATGCTGTTATACAGAGTCTTACTTTGTGTTTAGTGTTAGTAGCAGTTTGATTATTACACAGAATTATGTAGGCTACTTTGTAGTGTGAAGTATGATGGCTAATGCACTTCTTTTACAGTAACCTGGAGTGATTTATTACATCATCATATTCCACAAATTTCGTTTTTTTTTTTTTGAGAATGTAATTTACTTAAGAGCACAATGGGTTATTCTAAGTATTACACCATAATTTTTTTTTTCTTAAGAGTAATTTGAATAGTGCATGCTCACAAAAGGATGAAGACTACTAATAATAGTTTTCTATTAAAGTGTTTTAATTGTGCATGGTGCGGATCGCGCCACTCACTGTTTTATCAACTGTTACAATGACGTGATGTTTCACTAAACGTCATTGAGGAGCTGCACGCTCATTGGCTGAGGCCTCCATAATTTTGTTTGGTGATGAGAAGAGATAAAATTAGATAGTGGAACGCACTTATTAATATTGATATATTCAATCTTACACATGAAAAAGTGAGAACCAGTGCCTGTACAGCCGAAGAAGCAGTAAAGGTCTGAATTCAGAAGACAAGAAGACAAAGACAAAAAAGCGAGAGTAAAGATCGGTACAGCACACACAAGGTTAAAAGATTTAAACGAACAACGAAGAAAACCCTGAGCAGTGAAGTTGCTTCTTTTTTTCTTGAACAGGTTAGGGAATCAGTTAATTATTGTGTAGAGCGCTCTCTAAAAAATGCATTAGTATTAGTGTTGTTTACATAAACCTTAGAGATGTCATGTGATCCATGTCAATAGATGGCAGCGCAGCATCTTCAGGGATACAAACTAAAGAACAACTGAATAACCAAAATGTCATTACTTTCTAGAATATTTCAGCTTTATTTCAATTACTGAACACATTTATTGATTGATTGATTGCAATAGTTTTGGTTAACAGTAACAACCCTGGTGTCAAGAGGTTTGCTCCTGTAGTTGTTTGTTTTGCCGTTTTAGGTTTGAAGTTGTATGTTCGATGTTCACAAATTTAGCCAGGGGCCGTCTCTAAAGTTACATAAACATTGGTATACACATTTCTAACTTTAATAGCATTTGAAGATAATGAGTTACAGTCATAAAACCAACTGTAAAGCGTTCATCTTGGTGTCAGCTATAATGCACACCTTTTATATTTTTTATATTAAAATAAACTCCCAAATCATCTGTAAAATTGCTATTTATCTTTACTGTAAATGCACTCATACACAAAATATTATGCCATCATTTAAAGCTTAATAACATTTGAAGAGAATAATTTACAGTCATAAAACCAACTATAAAGTGTTCATCTAGGTGTCGGCTGTAATGCACACCTTTTAGATTTTTGACATTTGTTAAAATAAACTTGTCAAATCATCTGTAAAATTAGGAAATTAATTGATTACTAATTAATTTGATAAGGTTATTATTTTTTCAGATTGAATGTCACCGCTGCAAGAGGTGGTTCCATGTGGCATGCCTTTCCATGTCTAACAAACCGTTCAAGAGGGCTCAGAAGGATGCCTGGAAGTTTTGTTTATGTAAATTTATTTCATTCCCACTCACAATCTTTTTCTATACAAATAAATTACTGTACATAGTTCCCCTCATGTTTTCCAATCAATTAGCAAATTTGTCAGTTGTGTCAAAGCACAGTGATCTGGTGGCCAGCTGACCGAAAATAAAATGAAGAAAATAAACAAACATATTTGATATTTTAAAACGTATGTTTATCATCAATTATTTAAATTATTTCATTATTAGGACATCCATTTTTTTGGTTCTACATTTTGGTTTATGCAGGGATTTGAGAGTTTATTTTAATAAATATTTAAAGAAAACTTTAAAGATGGTACCTAAATTTGTGAATATCGAACGTACAGTACCACGTCAAACCAATTTTATGCCGGTCAATATCAGTGGTAAATGCTGTCACTCTATTAGTTATATATTACTTACCTGACCAGGCCGTTTGGCCATTATATGGGTATCGAGTGAGTGGGTGGGTGGGAATACATGCAAACTTGAGGCCACTGTGTCAAATTTACTCAAGCTGATCATTAAACTACACCAAACTCTGACTCTAATTCAAGTCAGTTAGGCTTCTCAATACTGAAAACTCAGCACAAAGTTCACTGTCAAGATGTTTATTAATTTCTCGTGACATTACATCAAGAGTTCAGTACAACAGAGCACTATTGCTGCTCTACTTTGCACTGTATTCCCGAACAGTATAACCTACTTATTAAAAGTAAGTAAACTGTACTCAAAACTGCAAAAAAGTTAATTCAACTCAAAACTTTTAAGACAATACGTTTCCTCAAATTGTTTGAGTTATCTTAACATCGGGGTTTACGGTGTGGTATAGAATGTTACTTGATGCTTTTCTTCCACTTGTGCAGACCCAGCAATGGTGTACATCAGATTGTGCCAGTTAATGTAATCACCGAGTTTGTATTTGGTCTTTGCCTCCATGTAGGTCTTAATCTGACGGGTGATCAGGACTTGTCCATGCACATGCACATCTGCTATGAAACCTGTGAAGATAGAGGGTTGGAGGAACCCTCCATCATATTGGGTCTGATACTGGCCAAGTGTGATGACAGGGTTTCCTTTAAAAGGTACTTTAGTGCCCACCACCTTCTTAATGCTGGCTACTTCATTCACAAACATCTGTGCAAGACCACTGTTGGCATCCCAGGTCGCACAGACTGAGTTCCACTGATTCATGTTAAACGTCAACCCTTTGAATTCAACCTGGGTGTTATGAATAAACATCTGGTACTGCTTGCTGTCACCTGACCAACGTAAAGAAAAGTCTTGAGGGTGGGACGGTGTAGCCAGAGAAAAAAGACATGGGCTGGGACTCGCTTGTTCAGTGTAGAATCGCAAACACACGGTGGCTGCAGACAGATCCATGGATTCATTCGGGTGCAGCTTCACCCAGTTGCTGATGGTCAGCTCTGGGAACGTGATGACCTTCTCTCTCAAACATTTTCTGTCTTTCTTCGGCTCTATGGTTGATATAATGAGATGTTTTCAACACTTAAGGCATTAAAGACTCTTTAATGTGAAGTGACACTGGTTGAACTTAATACAGTACTATTGCTTAATGAACAAATGCAAAGGCACAAACAAAATGAAATGATGAAAGCAGTCTAAATTCTTGTCTTATCAGTCTAAAACATTTTTCAGTGCTATTAATTAGGTGACCTCTGTATTTTGAAAACTATATTGTTAGTATTACATTTCTAGTACTTACGGGACAACGCAAAACCGCAAAGGACAATAAAGAAAACGTATGAAGCAACTCTCTTCATGGTCCTCTTGGGTCGAGTCAGGCAGGACAGAGGTACCTGAGCATTTCACCCTGCTCTTTTTATACTGCACCACTGTAGTGAGGACACCGCATGTCAGTGCTGATTCAGCAGTTCAGTCACATGCCAAGGAGCTGGGCTGCACTATTTGCCCCAAAATTTATTTTGCAATTACGATTTCAACTGAGATAGAAACATTTAATCTCGTATGAAAAAGCATAATATAGCTGCTGTTGAGACATCCAGGCAAAAATTATTCTCTGCTGCCAATGGAATAGTTACATGTTCCCTGTGTGTGTTCTGCCCCTGTCAACAACAACAACATTTTTTTATTATTAGCTTGTTGTTGTTGTTGTTATCATTGTTATTATTAATAATAATAAAATAGAAAAATAGTAATACAGTTGTACTTTTAAATACAAAAAACATTGAAAATTATTCATATGTGAAAATAAAGTGAACCTAGCACCTAGTTCTAGTTCTGTGTTCTCAACTCAGAGATTTACGTGTGTAAATGAACACTCAGCGCATCAGACTACATATATATTTACTTAATTAAATCACTGTGTTTATGATTTGGTAATCACAATAAGCCATATTGCCATTTTTTCCCCCGATTAATTGTGCAGCCTTCAAAGCAGCTATCACTGACCTGTTGCTATCTCCTTCTTTAAACAAAATTATTGCAAAAGCTTTTTAGGCTAAATTCTTCTTATACATCCTCCATGTAAAAACAACACAATAAAGGTGAATGAGTCAACATTTTTAATCGTTTTCATAGAATACTTTTTACATTTTCACAAGCTAAGAAGAAATGTGACGGATTGTGGAAGAGTCTTGTGTTTAATTTGTAAATTCTCTCGAGCAATAAGATATGGATGTAGAGAAATATAGTTTTTTTTACAATGTGGGGTTCTTCCTGTCCTGCTCCCATCTAAAGCACATTTACAGCAACTTTATGTTGCAACCAAAGCCAAATACAGCTGACCACAAAATGCCTGCATAGAATCCATAACACACCCCATCCAATAGCCATTATTGCATTTCCATCACTCATGCTTGGTTTTTTAATGTTCGTACTTTTAAAGTTCCTGTACTGCTTACCAGCAGAAAAAACAACATAACAATAAATAAACTCATAATGAAAACATATTTTTTCCCTTTCTTTTTGGCTTACCATGAAACAATAACATAGTGTTATAGTAAATAAATGGCTGTTATACATTTTCTTCATTTGGGATATAGGACAGGACAGCAAATAATTACAGATGCAAGTCTTGTACTGTTTTGTACTGTAGTCTCTAAACAAAAATATATGCTGTATATATAGTTACTGAGAAAAGCAATAAATCCTCATCCAATATGATAATACATTGAATAACCAGATCCCAATGCAAATATAGCAGGCTCTATAAACATAGTTCATGTAGAAGTATATATGTTTGTGTGTGTATGTTTTTTATGTAGCACTTAAAATGTCCCGTAAATACCATGGAGTACAACAATAAATTATTTTTGTTCAAGTTGCCACATGAACCAAAGCAGCATGTCATAGACTCTTTTAACATGTACCTCTGAGGTGGTTAAACTGCACATGGCTCATAAGACTTCTGGGTATGTTTTTGAAAGAATTCTCACTGATTTCAAATAATTGTGATGCAAGATCACCGCTACTGACTCTTTCAGTAACTTTTGTATAGACATACAGTACAAAAAAACTGGCTACAGTTTATAATACATACATGACTAGTTTGCATGATTTGTTTGGGTTGAAGTATGAAAATCCCTGTCAAAGCAACATCAGAAAGGCAATATACACTTAATAGATACGCGGATGCCTGTTGGTTTAGTCTGGTGAGTGGTGATGTGCAATTTACAGATACTTATATATGTAATTGTAACATAGAACCTTGACACATCGTCTGATTACACAAGAATCAATGCTGCTGACTGGCCTCAGTCTATGTTTTCTCCTGTAATCTGTGACACAGGAGTTACGAAACCCCAGTTCTATTGACATATCCATCCAGTCAACCCATGACCTCAACCTCACATTCAAACAAACAGATGTACAGACAACATTACACATTCACACATGCAGCCACACGCAAACACACCATGACAAACAAGAATAAAATGGTCAAATAAGCTCCTTCTTGTATTTTCAGACAAGCTACTGTCCTGTTGGTCATCCAAAAACTCTTGATCTCTCTAAATTCTCCTTTCACTTTCTACAACTAGATGTTTTGTAAATGTCTTTCGATATGTTTGACTGTTTGACCTACAGATGAGCCAGTGACACATCTCAGGAATTATGTTCTATTGTGTCTTGGTCTCAATTTTGCTGTGTCTTTGTGTACCAGTGAGCAATGCATAGTGCACATATGCACAGATAAGATTCTATGCTCTCTATGCGGTGACAGGAGTCCTTATGATTTCTGGCCCTCAAAACACCAGCGGTTGTATAGACGGCGCAACATCACATGACAATGCTGCAATGATTCCGAGGTTCTCTCACATTTCTTTCACGTTTCATCTTCCGATGCAAAATCAGGAGGGAAGAGACAGAAACTCGAGTACACCAAGACCACTTTGTTTCGTTGCATCAACATCAAGAAAATCTCTTTAAAAAACAGAACAGCAAGAGAGAGGAAGGGAGGGACTAAGAGAGAGAAAGAGAGAGTACAGAGTACAACAGATTGACCAGGAACAGCAATCGACTTTGTACAAATTGTGACTGTCCGTGTTTTATGTTCTTAGGTGGCTACAACATCGTTACTGTGAAGATGCAGTACAAGGTGGTAGCCAGCAGGAGCAGCAGAGAGCTAAGGCCTGATAGAGACGTCTCCCGAGTGGAAGAGTTCCTGGAGATGGCGTTGGAGGAACTGGGGTCATTGATCTGTGGGTCCTTGGAGAAACATAACAGGCAAGAAAGAGGATGAGCATTTATTTTTATCAGCCAAAAGGTAGTTAGATATGTCAAGAGATTTCAGCTATTTGGTTTTGAAATTTTTTCCATTATGATGTTTTACCTTTAACCTTTTCTAAAAGGTATGCATATGTGCTTAGCTTTTCAAGGCTTTTAGTACACCATAATGTGTTTTAAAAAAACTGGACTTTCATCTTGCAAACAATTGCTGATGTCCAAAAACACTATAAAAGTGTCTAAAAAAACACTTCCAGTTCATTCAGAAATAAAAATGCCACTCTGTCTGAGTTCTACCTAATATGGGTTCAGATTTCTGAGAGATTAGAAAAGCTCTTTGATTCAGAAATGACATTTTTTGCTGAAAAGAGGTCCTCATTTTTAGGGCTGTTTGGACCTGCCGCGGCAACACTAAATGTCATTCTAGCATACAATGTTGCTTTTATTATGTACAATGACATTTAGTGAACTTTAAAAGGCAGAAGATAAGCAATGTTCACATTTTGCCATCGCCCAACGCAAAGATCATGTGCACACTGGGCGAGAAGGGCCCTCTAGTGTCAGGTCAGAGTTCCGAAAGAGGCCAACGTGACATGAGATAATTATTGCTTTGTCTCTCTTTTCTTTCATTATGATTCATACTTTCAATAGCACTTGACATATATCAGAGATATGACTGGTTTGGGATGTGCTATCAGTTTTATTCTGACATGAAAAGAAGTATGTTAGCATACTTACCACACATAACACATCTATTGTGTTGTTTGTCTTCAGCTTCTGAGCCTAGAAAGGAAAAAGAAAGATCTCTTAAATCAACTGGATAGAAATGAAATGATAACATCTTGGAGCAAGAAACCCCTTACCAAACAACATTTTACAACAATGCTGCAGGATGATCCACACCGGATAATCAATATAGCAAAATGCTCATACTGCTGTTTATAGCTGCATTATTTTAGCCGTTAATTGCATTGTATTAGTAGCGTGCTTTATAACGATATTGACAAGTTTAAAATCTGTTGTGATTTTCTTTTCAGATAGTGTCAATATAACTAGAGAATTAAATGTGCATGCAAGCTGATATTACTATTAATTATATTAATCATTGCAGTTAGGTTATTGCAGGATTCTCAGTTTGAGGCCACCTTATATTTCTCACAATCGATGTTCAAATTTTAGCATTTCAGATGTAACTCTCCAGTAGCATACAATTTAGTATGGATTTAGCTTCCTTATGTGTGTGTACTTGTATAGGTATGTGTGTCTTAGAAAGTGAGAAGCAGTGGTGATATAGGAGACCTGGTGACAATATAATGAATGGATTCCTGTGTGTTGGCAGTTCGGTATCCTCCTGAAATTAGCCGACTTGAATCTAAGCCAGAGCCCAGCATGATAAAGCAATGCCTCGGCCAGTATGAAACATTATAAACAACCGCATCTACGGACCAGCAAAAAGAGGATTTGAGGTTTAATATCAATGATTGATTTCTCCCAGAGCGGTCCTAGCACCCTTTACACATTTTCAAAATTGAAGAAATAAACCAACAAAATTGTAAAAAGTATAATGTTCAGGAAAAAAAAAAAAAGTTGGATAATTGTTCTCTGTACACATCAAGTAGTGTTTTAATTACATTGAAGCAAAAATGCTCCCGAAGTGCAATATATGGCACTTTAATAGTGCCAAAAAAAAGGAATTGGAAAGAGAGAACAAAACTCATGAAATTGGCCCTTAATCTCACTGAATCACTTGACAGCATACTAAGCAGGGTTTTTCACTTTTATTATATATTTGAACATGAGTTCACACTGAACCCAGAGATCTCTCTTATATGGCTAATATGTCCAATACTTGCATTTTGACATGCTTTTACACAAGATGAGGTATTACCATATGTCTCTTTGTTTTGAGGGCGATAATGCACATCTGACTCTGTCATTTTACTCACACGAAAACCTACAAAGGCAAAAACCCTTTCTACCACATAACTAAAGGTGGATGCAAACAGTATGGCTGGCTGTAAACATCTCAGTTCTAAACAAGAGTGAGAGAAAAGCAGTTCGATATGCAACAGAGGCTACATTAACATGGTGTTTATATGCAGGAGTCGTCTCGCTAGTTTTCCTGGAGGTCAGCTGCGTGTGCTGCGATCATTTGTAACCGATGAAGAAAGACTGACAGACATATCCCATGAGTCCGCACTCCCCATCTCTGTTCTTCTCCTCATTTTCACATTGACAGCTGCTCCCCCTCAGAGGACTACATTTAACAGTGAGCCTAATACAAAAAAAAAGTAACCTCATTAACTTCACTCTCAAAGCCACTTTCTCCTGCTGCTGCGCTGCTCTCTGTCGGAGTGTGTAGGTGTGGATGTGTGTGTATGTGTGTGCATGCCCTAATGTCTGTGATTATATATTAGCCTTGTTTTAAATTAAAAGACATGCTGTATATGGCCAACTCTTAACAGTCATTGTCAATTGTATGTGTAGGGGTGTGTGGGGCTTGTCAGATTGAGACTGTCACAAGGGCTGTATCTCAGTACATTTGCATTGATGGTTTTGGCAGACGCTCATTTCCAAAGCGAGTTGCATTGCATTCAGTGTGTACATTTGATCAGTTCATGAATTTCTTGGGAATTGAATCCAAAATCTTGGCATAGCTAATGCCATGCTCTACTGTTTGAGCTACAGGAATGCTGTACGTATAAGTTGTTCGTTCAAAAGTCTAATTACGCAAATATGTTCATTTAGGCCAGAGAAGAACTGTCTCTCCCCCAAATGGTTTCTCCCAAGGTTGTTTGTCTTTCTCTCACTGAACGGACTTGAGCTGAATAGCCACACTATTGTCTTCTGGGAATTGAGCTAATTTCATAATTGATAAACTATACTAAACTGAAACATTGAACTGACTTGAGCTGAATAAGGACGGTATTGTCCTTTTTTAGAGCTGCTTTGCAGCAGAATTTGAATTTGTTTCATATGCGAAGAAGATCATTGATCATTGATTCTGTTATTTTCCTGATGGTACTGTGAAGCTGCTTTAATATAATCTATATTGTATAAAGCGCTAGAGAAATAAAGGTGACTTGACAAATGACGCTCGAAACCCTCTTAAATGAGGACAAATTTTGTGATTGTAAATATGATATTTATATTATAGTGGTTGCAGATAAGATTAAACTATTAATGGTAAATTGAACAATAATGTATACATTTTTTTGTAATGCGTTTTAAATATTAATTTACCCTAAATAGTTAGATAGTTCAGTAATTCTAATTTCTCTTTCTGTTTCCTCACATTTTTGGTGTTTTACTCTTTAAATTTTAAATTAAATTTTGCTGAGATACATGCCATAGCATCACATATGCTGTTTTCATGGCAAATGATCTTTGTGACAATTTATCCTATACAGTGTGACAACATGCCCCAAAAGGTCATTGAAAACTGTACTGTGATTGATTAGGGGACAATAACCTTTTTTTGTTTTTTTCCTAAGCAAGACTTTAAGGTTTGTGGCTTTACAGAAATTGACTTTAAAAAAAATAAACCTGCCCACGAGGCCTTCCACGTCTTGGTCACCCCTATAATGTAGTATAGCTCTCGTATCTAAATTAAGCATATGCAACTGAACTATTCCTTTCTTAAAAACATTATTTTCGAGATCACCAGAGGTATTTATTAACTCCTAACACAAGAGGACCACAAACACATCGTCTGTTTTAAAACCCTGCATTCCCTGAGGCACATACACATACACCAAATCCTCAATGCGTAAATAAAACTTGAAGATCTATGTCTGCAATAGTTCCAACGACCTGGAGGCTTCCGCAGAACTGGTAGAGGGAGTTCTCAGCCGGGTTGAGATGGTTGATGTGTGTGGCTGGCTCTATGGCGTTGGGTGATCTGCCTCGATCCCTGTTCCTCTGGGATGGTGTTGTCATAGAGGTGGTTGTTTGCACTGGGGGCATCGGCTGCCACACGCTCACGTCTGTCCCATTTCCAAAAGCCAGGATTGCATTACCTACGCACAAAGAGCAAAGTTGGTTTCCTACCTCATATTAAAAGAGAGATACAATGAAACATTTAAGAATTAATTTCAGGTCCGGTATAGCACAGATAAACACTGTAGATAGGTTTTGCCTCCTGTCTGTTGTCAAAGTCTCAAGTTTATATTCTGAGAGATGTTTACCATAACATAAGAGTACACAGAGATGCATGACTGTTTATTCGTGTTTCAAATATGTGTTTGACTGTAAATCAAGGCCTACTCCTGGATTTTATGTGCATACTGTATGTGAATGTGGCTCAGAATTCCCTAAATATATCAAATTCAAACTAATCAATATTTATGCTGAACTGATGGATGCTAGATAATGAAACTGAGGGCATGCAAAACGTGTCTCATAGACTGTAAATTACAGGTGGTTTCTATTTTTCTGAATATCGGAGGTCAAACCTACATCCTACAGCTACATAATGACCATCGGCTTAATCTCTCTTTCTCTGAGATTTATAATCATTGATTTAACAGAAGGACCAGCAGTGTGTACCGTCCTGTATATGGCCGAGTAATTGCAAGGCCATTTATCACTAACTTATTAAACCTAACCTATCAACATAGTCAATAGATAATGTGCTGTTTGCTTTAACTGCCTGTGTGATAGACTGGACATGATGCGTATTTGCCCAACCTCTCAGTCAGGCCCACCCCCAACCCAGCCTTTCTTAGAAGTAGGATCTACTGCCTCATTATATGGCCCACTGACAGGCTCTTGCTCTCTCTGCCACCTCCGCCATCTCCACTGAAACAGTACAGACTACACACTGTTCAGCACATATAGTCTGTGAAGACATGGTTTTTAAGAAAAATCCAAGAAAGTGCGGTACAGTATGTGTGTAGTTTTACATTGTGAATTTTTTTTTTTTTTATCAGAAATGTCCGCCCTCTCTCATAGTGCTTAGTTCTGTCTGTTGCTACGCTACGTCTTAATGTTTCTTTTTCATCTCCCTCACTAATTTTATCATACTCACATGTAAATAGTTTGAACAAACACATGATGAATGTATTGTTTGCTATTTTTAGAAACTTTCTCTCCATCTCTCTAGGAAATACTGGAAAAGACCCGCAGGCTCTGAGCACTTTGATCGTTGTTTTGAGTCTATGAGCCCTGACACATTTTCTTCAGCAGATGAATCGAGTAGTTTCCTCTCATGTGCATTTCTCTCAATGAGTCAAGTTCTCTGAATCCAATTATTTTTTTATCAGAAATGTCCGCCCTCTCTCATAGTGCTTAGTTCTGTCTGTTGCTACGCTACGTCTTAATGTTTCTTTTTCATCTCCCTCACTAATTTTATCATACTCACATGTAAATAGTTTGAACAAACACATGATGAATGTATTGTTTGCTATTTTTAGAAACTTTCTCTCCATCTCTCTAGGAAATACTGGAAAAGACCCGCAGGCTCTGAGCACTTTGATCGTTGTTTTGAGTCTATGAGCCCTGACACATTTTCTTCAGCAGATGAATCGAGTAGTTTCCTCTCATGTGCATTTCTCTCAATGAGTCAAGTTCTCTGAATCCACTCTACACTCCACCAGATGATGTCTGGAGGCCTTCACATCCACATGGTTTTATGTTTCAAAGAAAGAAAAAATGTTCTGCAATATCAGGCTACTGTTTGCTTTTTTTGTGATTTTTATGATGAAATGCAGACCAGCTTAAAATAAGCACGCTTTTCTGATGTAAATAACATTTGCATTTGTGTTTTTTCAGCAACACACATTTATAGTTTTGCTCTTAAACCACTAGTAAAATGCCTTTCCCCCCCATTTTTCAAGAGCTTTTATTATACATTTATCTAACTGAATAAATATTTTTTTCACATTTACATTCTACACTGTTCTTTTAAATTTTCTAACAGAGGGGGAAAAAAAATCAGTTTTCATAAAAATGTTAAGAAATTATTTTTTTCAAAATTTATGATAAGAACCATTGATAATAATTGAGTAACAATAATACATTATTATAACTGAGCAGCAAATCAGCATATTAGAATGATTTCTGAAGGATCATGTGACACTGAAGACTGGAGTAAATGGCTGCTGAAAATTCTTTCACACTAAAAAAAAAACATTTTACAATATATTACCATCACAATATAACTGTTTTTACTGTATTTTTGATTAAATAAATGCAGCTTTAGTGAACATACATTCTTTATTTCAAGAACATTTAATTTTTTAAAAAATATATACAGCATAATTTATTATTTAATCTAATCATAATATTTCTTTTTTTCAATGTTTCAAAATTCTATAATAAACATTTATTTGCAGCTTTAAATTAGATTTTGAATCCCAAAATTTGGACCGCACTGTATAAATGTTTTCAGGAAACACTCTTATCACTGTACAATTATATACAACAGCTTGAGTGTTGCCACCAAACTCAAGATCTAAGCATGTAAAGCTGATGTTAAGTATTTGAGGGGGCTGGGAAGAAAAAAACTTAATATTTTCAATAACGCTCTCACTATTTCAATCTCACTATTTCATTTGATGCTATTTGTTCTGCTGAAGCTCAGCTCTGCTCTACACTAGCCTGTGTTGAGGATGCCGTGTTCCAAGGGCAGACAGACGCATAACGCCCAGGGGCTAGTGTAGGGTGTGAGGCCAAAGCGCTTCGTCATAGCCTCCTAAACACCCAGATACTGACGGCGCTGGGAACGAACCCCCAGAACTGTCAGGATTCCTTAACACAGAAATCCCGTAATGAGACACGAGAGAATGCGGTAATGAGAAGGAGAGAGAGAAAGTGAGAGAGTGAGAGTAAGAAAGAAAGATAGAACAATAAAGAAGCAGTTTAACCCAGTTTAACCTCCTGTAGATTCTCCTTCAACATCCCCTCAAAGCCCTCGGCACTAAAAGAAACAAATCAAATTAAGCTCAGACTGTTCACAGATCCTACAGTGAATCCACCCTGCCCTTTCTTTTGAAGATCTGAACATTGAAATCTATTTATTTTACTGCAGTGGTTTAGAGAAAGATTTTGACAGGTCACTATTCTCTTAATCACATTTTTGCCTTCACTAATTCACTGTAAATGGTCTTGATGTGAACGTTTGTGGTCTGCATAAAAGTCCAAATATTAAATTAACAGCCACAGTGTCTGAATGCAGAATTTTACCAGCTACTCATAATTTTAAACAGCCATTTTTAAGTAACAAATAACAACTGCTGCACAACTACAGTAGGAAAATAAGGAAACAGGAAAATACTATGTAGTTTTAGATGATATTTAGATTTTTTTTGTTACAGCTTAGTGCGATTATTAAATCGCAAAAGCTGTGATTTAATTAAATACATGTTATGCATGCATTTTTCTTAAATGTTTTTATTTAGTAATTTTTATATTTCCATTTAATAATTCTTCTCTTTTTTTCTTCTTCTTCATCATCATAGCCATATTGATATATAAGCACAAAATTGTGGCCAAATTGTGCAGCCCTTACAAACAAGCACAGTTTCAAAATGCAATTTTTATTAGAAGAATTATAATCATATTTTTCTCCAAATTGTGCAGTCCTACTGTTAGCAGGTCCGACTGTTAGCAGTGAACTGAGAACTGGGCTGTTACAAATGGGGCATGATGATCGACATGACCTGTGAACTATATCACCACAAGACACTTAGTTCAAGTGCTGTGTATTGAGGTTTGAGTAGTGGCATTCATCTTGACCCTGCTTTCTAAACTGACCCCTGCATGGATCTCTGTCAGTACTATACATTTTTTGTAGCACTCCCAGGACTTTCACAAGCTCTCCCTGAAAGCTTGCTTTTTGCTATTACCACTTAGGCTGTTTTCATGCCATTCTACGAGTACACGGGAACAAAACGAAACACTTGGTGCAGTCAAGGAAGTGTAGTGAGCAAAAGATATACAGGGAAAAAGGTAAGAGAAAGAAGTGTAAATAATAGGAAGATGGAATAGGCTTTTTAGAGGCAGAGGTAAAAACAGGCTGACAGTTGGACAGCTGAAAGCCTCAGAAAACAACTTGCTGGAGTCTGAAGAGAGGGACAAAGCAAACCAGATAAGAGGGAGAATGAGACCAATGGACAGGGAAATGGCACGGATGGAGGCACAGAGTTTAAAGAAAGAAAAAACAAGACAGAAAAAAAGGTAACAAGATATGAGGAGTGTTTGACTGACTTATTACTCCCATCTTTACGTCTATTTTTATGTAATTTACTAGTGGTGGGTGAAATGAAGCTGGCTCTTTTTAAATAGCCATGAGTTTCCTTTACCAAAGAGTTTGTCATAAGACTACAGCACTCAAGTATGAAACCATTAAGTCAGCATCAGCAAAGTTAGAAAACATAGTTTCTCATTTAAACTTCAGTTGGAAAATGCCATTAGAGTTGGGAAGTTTGATTAATTTTTGTGAAACACTTTAAATGGAACATGTTAATGCATTGATTCCAAACTTCAAAATTTGGCATCATCACTCAAAAATGTTCACAAAGCTCTCCTATTTTGGCATTTTACATGCTTTAAAATGTTTTAGTAAAAATATTTGTAGGCAAATGTTATTGTTTATAACTATATACTGTATTAGTATGAATAAATTCATAAATATAAATATAATATACATAGGGCTGGGTATTGAGTTCGATACTTTTTAGGCACTGACTTTTTAGGGTTCTGCCCAGAGACGAGGCTCACATGTGAGGCTGTAGTGTGTAAGCGTCCGACCCCCATAGGCTACGTTTACACTAGTGTGTTTTCATTTTAAAATGCTGTTTTTTGATAATGTTGATATCAAGCTAATTGCTACACCTGCTTAGCATTTCTCATGTAAACACCCTGTATTGTTATGAAAACAGGCTGAATCTCATGAAAATCACATACAAATCAAATTCTGTCATAATCGCTTGTTTATTAGCTTCATGTTTCATCAGTGGAAATGTTTTCCTGGGTTTCTTCTGTACAGAACTGAAGTGTAATGGACGAGACAGGGCGGGTTATAAACGCGTAATATGATTGTCATATGAGCAGCGAATGAGCTTCCTCTAAGTCAGAACAGCGATCACGGCATACAGCGCTGGAAGCAGCTAATGCTCATCATTAAATCAGTGGAGATTGAATAGAAATGATGAAGCTATACGTTTTAAAACAAAAACACACTAGTGTAAACGTAGCCTAAATGATGTGGGAAATGAAAACTATTTAATAATACATTTATTAAAAACATGCTGAAAAAATAAAACAAAAACTTTTTTTGAGGTAATGTAATCTTGTTAAAACTGATTTCATATAATAGGCATCGGAAAAAGTATAGTTCAGGAACTAGTATCGAAGTCAAGGTATCGGTATCGATATAGACAATTTTTGAATGATACCCAGCCCTAAATATAAAGATTTTGAGCTATATGGCCCAGCTCTAACAAAAACTACACATGTAAATCAGCAAGTCTGCCTCGAGTGGGCGAGAAGGGCCAGAACAGTAACTCACGCAGGCAGGCGTTGTCAGTGAAGAACTCTGTGAATCTGTCGCATTCCTCTTTGCTGTTGCCACTGCTGCTGCAGTCACAGAATGGCGACACGCTGATCTTGGATGAACGCAGATAATTTGAGGTCATCACCGTGCCTGGAAAAAAACAAAAAAGACATGTTCCTACAGTTGTGGCCAAAAGTTTTGGCAGTTGTGGTGTTCATTCACATTGTTTCTAGATTATTGTGTAGAGTGATCAGATGCATTTTATATAATTGCTAAAAGCTTCATTGGCCAAAAAAATGTACTTTTCACAAAAAAAACTAATTTCACTGTTTTTTGATCCTGACACAAAATGACCTGCTAACATTAATTGACTAATCATATCAGCAGCACATGTGAAAGTGTGAATGGGTACTAGTCAGGTTAATCACTATCATACTAATTAGATTGTAAGAGCAGATTGCTATAAAAGGAGGGAAGAAGTGCTTCCAATTATTGTGTTCTTGTTAGCAATGGTTACCTCCAAAGAAACATGTGCAGCCATCATCGCTTTGCATCAAAATGGCCTGTAGCAAAATGGAAATTGCTACAAAGAATATTGCACCTGAAAAAAACATTTACCGGATCATCAAGAAATTCAAGGAGAGAGGTTCGACTGCAGTGAAGAAGTCTTCAGGCCGTCCCAGAGTGTCCAGCAAGCGCCAGGACCGTCTCCTCCTGAGGAGTCAGCTACGGAATTGTGTCACCAGCAGTGCAGAGCTTGCTCAGGAATGGCAGCAGGTTGGTGTGAGAGCATCTGCACGCACAGTGAGGCCAAGACTTGTGGACAACGGCCTGGTGTCAAGAAGGGCAGCAAAGAAGCCACTTCTCTCCAAGAAAAACATCAAGGACAGACTGAAATTCTGCAGGAAGTACAAGGATTGGACAGCAGAAGACTGGTGCAAAGTTATTTTCTTTGATGAAGCTCCCTTCTGACTGTTTGGTACATCTGGAAAATCGATTGTTCGGAGAAGAAAAGGTGAATGCTACCATGAATCCTGTGTTGTGCCAATAGTGAAGCATCCTGAGACCATCCATGTGTGTGGTTGCTTTTCAACCAAGGGAGTGGGCCCTCTAATAATTCTGCCCAAAAACACTGCCATGAATAAAGAATGGTATCAAAACTTCCTGCAAGAGCGACTTCTTCCAACGATCCATGAGCAATTTAATGATGATCCGAGCATTTTCCAGCATGATGGAGCACCATGTCACAAAGCAAGAGTGATAAAGAAGTGGCTCGAAGATCATTACATTTAAATTTTTGGTTTCAGGCAACTCCCCGGATCTCAATCCCATAGAGAACCTGTGGTCAGTCCTCAAAAGGCGAGTGGACAAGCAGAAGCCCACAAATTGTGATAAACTCAGAGAACTAATAAGGCAAGAATGGATCGCCATGAGTCAGGATTTGGCCCAGAAGCTAATATCCAGCATGCCAGAGCAAATTGCAGAAATTATGAAGAACAAGCGTCAACACTGTAAATATTGACTCATATTTTTTTGGCAATAAAAGTCTTTAAAACTTATGATATACTTATCATTGTTTTTAAGTATACCATATAAACGTGGAAAAATAATCTACAAATACTGAAGCAGCAAAACACTAAAATTATGTCACAGCCAGAACTTTTGGCCATGACTGTACACCCTTCAGGAGTATTGTATTTTTTAAATTATTGTATCAATTTCATATATAAAAGGAATTTGACTAAATATGTGTGTTTCCGTTTTTAAAAGCCACACATCACACATCAAAACCATTGACACCTAATCCCTTGTCATCTTCAGATTAGTCGTTATCTTGTTCTCACTGAGCTTTCTTAAAAATAATAATTTTGGTGCAATGTGCTTCATAAAAGCTGTACTGTGGAGATGTGACAGTGTTAGCCCACAGAGAAACAGTCTCCCACTGGTAGAACAACAACAGGAGCTAATCACAGATTAATAGCTGCACTGCTGTATTCCCGTGTGTCCAGCTGCTGCTTCTGTGTGGTGCACACACAACTTTGGGGAAACATCCAGCACAAGCAAAACACAAAGAAAGAACTAGAGAACAAGCATGTTTTCCCAAAGGCTTTCTCTATGTCTATCTCAGTGGACTGTATAGAAGGTAGTAGCAGTCACTCAGTGCTAGTTAATGAGACACTAAACCGTATCAGTGAATCCAGATTTAACAGAGCAACCCAAATCATCTTTTGCCATCACTAGTTTATTTTAAATGGTTGTGACAAATTATATTGTAGTGCATACAGTATATAATAATAAATAAATAAATATTTCCCATGTCTCTGAATTAACATAAAATAATTATTATATTTATAATATATTAATAATAAAAATAATTTTTTTTTAAATGTGTATATAGGCATATGTGATAAATAGATTTTTAAAAGTGCAGCTATCTCTATTTAACATTCAATTTACCATATTAATAATTAAATAAATAAATATATGTTACAGGGCAGACTCACCAATGAGGCCAGAGTACGACAGCAAGCAGTCAGCGTAGTTCTCCTTCAGACAGCCAGAGAGAGAGCGGGGCTCAGGTTGACAGTTAGTGAAGAAATCTGCCAGACGAGACCTAAAACACCACACACACACACACAAACACTTTATATTACATAATTCTCACCTTTTCCTGACATCACTTTATAATTAAATAAATAGAGTTCATAATAAATGAAAGAAAACATATGTTGCCAAATCTGTGTTTGTAAAGCAAACTGCACGCAGTTCTTGGCTGTTAAAAGTGTTGGATGACTCCCCGCGCAGTCTGTCGCAGTGTTAAGGATGGAGAAGAAATGTGTAAATGAATGTGATGTGCCGTGTCTCCTAAGACACATGGTGTGGGACTAGTGTGGGGTTTCTGCACAACTACACCAAACACCTTGCTACAGCTAGGGGCTACACCTGGCTTCAAAATGGTCATGGGTACAAGAGCAGGATGGATACAGAAAGAAGGACAAATAATGAGGAAAAAATGACTGGAATGGAGCATATGAACTGTACAGACCTGGAGCGCAAGTGCAAATATATTCCATTTATTTGTATGAGTGTCTCAGTTTGCCCCCAGAATGCCGAGCGGCAGCTCTTCTGATTGAGCAGGGTCATTAGCTGTCGCTCTCTCTGTGCCCAAAGATGTTTACTTGGCAAAACTACATCCACGTTGTGCTAATGAATCCTTAACAAGCCACTTAGCGGACTCTGAGGTTACCTCCTTCCCGCACAAACCAGATTTAAGGCTGCAGTTTTTATTGCTAGACTTCAATAATCACCACAATTGTCCTCACGATGTGTTCTCCTGCCTTACCTTAATAAACGCTTTATTTCCCAGTAGATGCAGCTTAGCTGCTCATGGCCATGTCTGTCCCTATTGGTGAATATGTGTTATTACAGCTGGCATGTTGTGATCTTGCCTCTCAGATTCAGTGAGGCATTTCTTAACACCTCTAAATAGCTCATTTTGCACTGCCATGTGTTAATGCACACAAGATAAGTGTTGCCATGAAGTGTGGATGTATTTGCATGTAAGTGTGTGTATAAGAAGAAGAGAGAGAAGCACAGCCAACTTTTCTTAACTTTGTGTATGTTCTTTATTTACTCGCTTTACTACTATATAATGGAGTCTCAAAGTTCAAGACCACTAGTGAAATGCTTCTGTTTTTTATATTATATTATATTATATTAATCTTTTTTCTTTTCTTTTTTTTTTTACAAATTTGACATGAAAAATTAAGATAAGTAATTAGAATGTGTTTATTATTAGATCATTAGAAATTATTATAATAATAACAACATTTTAAATTGTCTTTTTTAAACCAGTTCTTAATTATATTAGTTTATTTATTAAGTACAATATATAATATTAATATAATATATTAAAATTATTTGTATTATAACATGGTATAACAGAATATTAAAATAGAATATTTTATTGTTTATTATTTTATAACAATTTAAGTAAACTTTGAATCAAAATATATGAAAAAGTAGTTTAGAATATATTTCTTATTAGGGTTATTTGTTATTATTTAGGGTCAAATCAGTAATTTAATATTATTAGATTTTTTGGTGACAACTTTACAATACAGTCCCATTAGTTAACATTAGTTAATTCATTAACAATGAGCAATATATTTGTTACTGCTTTTATTAAGTTGGCTTCAGAAAGCCAACTTACTTTTGTGCTATTTAAACTACTTCTTCTTCTTCTGAGACTAACATTTCTGACTCTTATTCCTCCCACAGCTTTTTAACTCTACAACCACCACACTCCCAGATCTTCAGACTGTTCTGACTTATGACTGAAATTCACTACACAACTTTTAATATCTGAGCAGATTTTAAAATGCTGGACATCATACACTTACTGACTTTGTAAACAGTCACAAAGGAAAAACTGGCCATCATACACAAAACGACTGAGGATCATACACTACCAGACTATAAAGTCATTCAGATCACAACAAACTCACGCAGAAAGATGCGCCCAGTGTTGCCAGATCAGATGAACGATTTCTAGCCAAAAAGCTCACCAAAATCGGCCAAATCCAACAAAAAACCGCCCAAAATTTTAACTGTCATAATTAGGGCTGCCCCCTTACAGTCGACTAACCTTTAGTTGACAAGAAGAGGCTTGGTCATCCAAAATTTTATTAGTCGCTAAGTCGCAGAAAAAAAAATCCACAGGAAATGGTGAGGTCACGCAGTCCATGACGGACAGATCGTTAACGGTTGGATTTTGTGGTAACACATTTCATCCAAATGCTCGCCTATCATTCATCGACCTCAAATATGGCTTATCATCTGAAATATGTAAGTAGTAGCAACTTTAGATGGCCGCTCAATCTAATGTTAACCTAGAAAAATGTGCGCTATTCAAGTGTCTGTGCGGAGTGTGAAAGCGGAACAGTAGCATGCTCACAGCATGACAGATGGAGGCGCCGGTGCAGTCACTTGCTCTTAAAATACTCCATCATTTTTGTCATACAGAAAAGAGTAATACATCTTTCAAATCTGTAAAGCTTCTACGTTTATTTGTGTGCACTCACTATAACAACAAAACATTGCGCTTTTGTAAAATAATGAAAGCAAACATGTGCTTTCTGCCATCTCGGCCTCTGTGAACCTGAGCACGAAACTCTGTGTATACTTGCCTTACAGACATGAAAAATATATCTATAGAGAGTGAAATGCCTACTTTCAAATGAAACAATTCAAATCTGAAAAAAAAAAAAAATTCTCTGAATGAAACTTGCATGCAGGCGCATCCACTACAGTGGAGATGACGAGTCAGTGTCTGCAAATTCATCTCTTAAAGGGGTCATATGATGCGATTCAAATTTTTCCTCTCTCTTTGGAGTGTTACAAGCTCTTGGTGCATAAAGAAGATCGCCTCAGGTTACGTATGTAACCCTAGTTCCTCGAGGGAACGAGACGCTGCGTCGAGAAACGCTAGGGGAACGCCGTTCAGCGTGACGGGCTCTGAATTTCGTGTGTAATCAGACCAATAGATGGGCGAGACGTCACGGCGGGTGACGTAATGACCAGGAGGCTATAAAAGCACGCAAGCGGGCAGTTAACTGGGTCTAGCTGGCGGTCTCCGCACCAGGAAGTGAAAAGTTCCCACTTCAAGGCGTACAGTTTCCTCGTAGAGGGAACTCTGGATTGAAGAATGGTCTCGACAACCTCAGTTGAGAGACCGGAAGCTATGAGTTGTGCCCCCTCAAAGGTACGTTTTTTATATTTAAAGAGTTTTTATATTTTTTAAATTTAAAGCAAGTTTTTTTGGGCAGTGTAGAGTAGGGCTTGTTGTTTGTCATTTCTCCGATCACAGGTGCAGACATGGTTTTATGTTTACGCGGTGCGGTGCGATGCAACGCAACGCGTAAAAAGACAGTATAAGTCATTATAATACATAATTATGTCCCCACTGGATGCAACGAATGCCTCGTTTATAATGGGTTTTCATGTTTTTGAATCATCGCTCTACCTGACAGGTCATCATCACAATATGGTAAGGGGCGTAACATTTCTGTCACACGCTTGAGGTATTCGGCCAATCATAACGCACAGGATAGCTGGCCAATCACAGCACACCTTGCTTTTCAGACCGATGAGCTTTGTAAAAATCGACGCATTTCAGAAAAGCTGGGCAAAGAGGAGAAACAATAATCTACAGTATGTGGAAAAAAAATTGTTTTTTGAACCTTAAACCGCATAAACACATTTCATTACACCAAATACACAAAATAATGTTTTTTTAGCAACATCATATGACCCCCTTTAAGCCAAAATCACAGAAAACACTAGTTTATCAATAAATTATTAAAATGTTAAAGGGGTCATATGATGCTTTTTTAAAGATCATTATTTTGTGTATTTGGTGTAACAGAATATGTTGACATGCTTTAATGTTAAAAAACACATTCTTTTTCAAATACTGTACATTATTGTAGGTCCTCTATGCCCCGCCTCTCTCAAACGCTTAGTTTTCTACAAAGTTCCTCCTTCCGACAAGTGCAGTCTGCTCTGATTGGCCAGCTGACCCAGTGCATTGTGATTGGCCGAACACCGCAAGCACTCGTCGGAAATGTAACGCCCCTTACCATAATCGCGAGCTTCAGCTTTCAAAATAAATGTAAAGACAGCCTGAAAGGGGAACAGAGTCACGTGACAGACACAGTGATGAAGCTTGTGTGTGTTTGCAGTACACAAGCCACGGTTATGACAGCTGACTCCACTGTGATGTGACCCTGTCTCTCTCTCTCTCTCGTGGGGGCGTGGCAGAGTCTTAACTTTGATAAAGAATATCTCTTTGGTTTTGATTTGTGGAATAAACACACACACACGATGCGCACAACTCCGCATTTGAGCAGTCAATAGCAAATACTTAAACTAATAACAAAACAGTAACTGATTCAGAAGCGCCAGATTGTCATAGCAAAGACAGAATTACCTCCTCTCCTAGGTTCACGAAATGGTCGTCCATAAAATGCATTGCTGTTCTGTTGTAAGTACATATACGTATGCAACCCAGGCAACGATGAAAAGCAAAACCAATGTTACACCGTGTCTACACTGGACGCGAGTGGTGTGGCGAGTCAAAATACTATAGAACTCATAATCAGTGATGCTGTCTACTACACCATAGATATACTGTATATACATATCTATAAGGTCTACGCTGGATGCGGCGCGGCACGACACGACAAATCCCCGACAGAAAACTGCTGCTGATTTCTATTTATGACGTATTGACACAAATTTCAAATGATTTTCAATGGTCTCTTTGTCGCGTCCAGTGTACTAGACAGACTTTAGCTGTTGCGGCGCAGACACGGTGTTACTCACCTATCGAGAAGAAACAAAGCAACCTCGGCGTCTGATTGCAGGCCTTCCGCTCCTTGAGTTCTCTCCAGCGCTGGAAAGCTAATCCGATATTTACACAGGTCCTACTTCTTGCCTTAAGCCTTCGTTTGTTCCGCAGACATTTTCCTCTTTTGTTTTTTATCCGCCATCTCTATCTTTCTGTCACTTGGCTCGGCTAATGTCAGTCCTGTGCACTGAACTCTCTCTCCT